CATCTCTCATATAACTCTTTCTCTCACTCTATCTCATATACCCAACTTTCATACATATATAACTCTCTCTCTCTCTCTCTCTCTCTCTCTCTCTCTTTATATATATATATATATATATATCTATATATATATATATATCATACTCTATCTCTTAATATTGTTTGTTTTGATGATTTTAATTGAACTTCTTTACTTAAAAAAATTCAAAGTCAAGCTAATTATCAGTAAAAAAATAATAAGTGATATCAATTGCACCAAAAAAAAAAAATCAGAATCAAACTAATCACCAATAAAAAAATAAGTAATACCAATTGTACCCAAAAAAAAAATCAGAGTCAAGCTAATAACCAATAAAAAAATAATAAGTGATACCAATTGTAAAAAAAAAAACTAAAATTCAAAGTCAAGCTAATTACCAATATAAAAAATTAATTGAAACCAATTGCAAATATATATATATATATATTCAAAACCAACTATAACATTTTTTTTTCCTTATTTGTATCACTTTCTCGTTGCTAATGTTCATATTTTTTTAAATATTTGAATAGTGCAAAATAGAAACCGAAACGACAAAAAGTCAATTAAATCAATTTTTTTTAAGTGGTGAAATTTTAATTTTGTTGATTTAGTTTAATTGTAGCGTGATAATATTTCTATAGAATCCAAGACGTCACAACAATAGATAATTCAAATCAATTTTCTCTGCAACTACATACAGATCCACTAGGCAATGTTAGTTCGATTGAGTATTTTTTTATTTTTTGGAAATTTGATTTTGTAGTTCAATGTGGTTAATTTATTTGATAGGATTCAATGATTTAATTATGTGTTTTTAATGATATTCCTTATTAAAAATAAACAACTTATTCATTAAATTTAGCTAGAAATTTAAAAAATGAACACTCATTTGTTGGAAGGAAGAGTCGTCATGGAAAATTTTATGCCATGACAATTTTATAATGGTGTTAATTTAAATTCATGGGAATTCTCGAATTGTATTAATACGATATAATTCTTCTTCTTTTTAAACCTTGGACTTCTTTTATTTAAAACATTCTTGGATGCCCTATTTACTTTGGTAAAATTTTTGTATTAACAGTACCTTCATGCAAAGGTAATGACTAGTATAGTAATGACTAGTATGTCAACAAAATCCAAAAAATTAGGGTCAAAAATCTTATCTTGAATCAGAGTTCAAAACATCCTGTCATTCAACAACCTATTAGTCCAAGAAAGAGCAGGTTGGGATGAAAAGAAGATAATCTCAGAAACGATCATAACAAAAGGCATGATACCAAATAGAATCAACTATACAACAAACTGTAAAATAGGAACTGTACGAGCACTGAAGAAATGGAGAACTAATTTAAGGAACCCAGTTCTTGTTTGTGCTTTTAACCCACGAAGTATCGAACCAAGCCAATCCGTACACATCATTCGCCACTAGCGTTGAAAACATCCATGCAAGATGTTTCCATTTATCTCACTTGTGAGATATAGTTGAAGCAGTATCTGAAGAGACTTCAGGATTTCCCTGGGGCTTTGCCCTACAATTTTAGGAATTGAAGCCAGTTGTAACAATATGAAAGTGGGAACACATTTAGGAGCAATCTCCACTCCTCAAACTTTCTAGTAGCTTCAAGTATCCAAAATCTTCAGGTCTGATGTACCTGCAGATATTTTAGGGAAAAACGATATTACAGTTGCTTCGGCTCAAGTAAGGTGATAATGACTTGACTCACAAAGCAAAAACAATTTTCTTCCTCCGAGACAACAGTTCCTAGATCCAAAAGATGATAGGTAGCAAGATTTCTGAAACGCTGCACTGAATTAGTTCCCTGTCAAGGCTTTATCTCTCGGTCTAATTGAAGAAGTTTGCACCAAATTCTGAATTCTAAGGCAATTTTAGGCATAAATTAAAAAAAATTGTGTTGTGCGATCTTGTGAGGACCAAAATAGTTTGTTCATGAACAAGGTGGATAATTGGCCACAAGCAACCCTTGTTTTGCAAAGTATATCGCTAGGAATATAATCACAGATACCATAATAATTTGCTTTTATACATCACCGATTCCTCAAAAGTGAGAAGCAACAAAAGAAGCAGAACAGGAGAAAATTAAATACCCATGTCGAAACAGGAAATCGATGATGACAAGATTGCAATTTGCTTTAAATAACTGTGTCCTCCTAATGACATTTGCAACAAGGGTTACAGGGATCAGTTTGAAACTCGCTACCTCTCCATCTGCCACATGTTACAATCAACCACAGAAAAGCATTGAAGTGAATCGCAGATAGAATGAATAGAAAAACCCATTGCAGCAAACTCATAAAGCATAGGGTGCTAAGTCTGTTTGTCTATTTGCTTGGGGGGATTGTTCAGGGAGTTTTACGGGGCTTACCCTGATTCTTAGGAGTAAAATCTTCGGGAAGCTTTAAATCATAACAAAAGAGAACATCTCTCTTGAATCGATATCCATCAATATCCATATAGGAGACAGCACCAACTGGTATCGCTCTGTGGGGGGAAAAAGATCATAAATATTTTCACAGGTATATCTACATTAGACAAAGAGTAGAAGGACACTAGGTGGTGACATAATATGCTGTCAATAACCAATGCGTATCTGCCATTGAAAATTTTAACTTCCTGTATATAGTCTATATGAGATGTGCTGTAAGGCTAGAATAGTTCAATAGCAGAATAAAACTTACTCACTGGATATGGACTTTGGTATCCCTGCCTCCTCTTCACATTCTTTCACAAGATTCTCTCCACAGGGAATCCCATGAGGCTGTAATGACAAACTGTGGAAGTATGAGCAAAATGACTAACTTGGAATAAAATCAGCAAACATGTGCTACAAATAACTGGTTCAGAAGAAGAAAAAAAAAAGAGCACATGCTCTTGTTGGTTGAGATGGAGTGAATAGTTGATATCAGCCCCAGAAAAGCAAATTCGAGATTCACCATTGCTGAACAACTTTGAATCATTATATTCTTAAGCATTCTTGGAGAAAAACAACCAATACATAAACATAAATCAAAAGATGAGCATGGACCAGCCCTCCGGCAACTAAATGATCAAGCATCCCGGGGTAGGTGGGTTTCAGTTCACTTCTCTTCCCTATCCAAAGATATTTTTGCCCATCTCTTTCAACATAGCCATTCATGTGAACTCCATAAGCCTGACATGAAAAGAACAAAAGCATTTCACAAGGGGGAAAAAAAAGAAGCGTTAAGTACACTGGTCTAGTTAATCAGACAGCCTCTGACCCAAGCAATACGTATCATGCCAATTGTACAAATTTAATAAGATTCAGCCTTGATCACTGTCTTTTTAATAATATGACGGTGATAAACGAAAAATATAAATGTGAGTGATAGTGTTGTTTGCATATAAAAATCAAGGACTCTTTTTCTTTTGATGCTTGGGCCAGCAGTATGAGAAATGGATCAAATACAATACAGTAGTGATAAACAACCATCATCAACTCCCATTATCATCAACTACTTAAATTAGCAAATCTATGAAGTTCTGTGCTATTATAAGCAAAAGGAATAACACACCTTTATCCCAAAATAAGGTGCAGCTGCACGCTCTAGCGAGAAAAATACTGGAGTCCCAAAACATGAAGTGACAGGATATAGCTGCTTGTAAACAACACAATCCATAACCATCCAAGAAAGTATATTGGAAAACCTGATCCCTAAATATTGTAAACTATCACAAAATAAAGAGGTTAAATATGACAATTAGCGAAAATGTAAAACCACTTACTGAAAACAGAAAGAAAATTTATATAATTCGGTCACAAGAAGTACCTCATTCCGAATACCTGGAATTAGTTCTTCCCCTAAGCATTTCACTACATCTTCAACCGCACTAGTCATAACCTCCGGTGTTCTAAGCATTGGATGTAGTGTGACATGATATCCAAACCGGCAACCATGAGAATTATTTTTGGGGAAAATAAAGACATCCGCAAACCTTCTTAGATGGTCAGCAAACCTATACAAAGTCAAAACCAAGTAAATAACATGAATCAACCAAAATCATAATTCAGGGATCTAATTCTAACTCAATTTGGAGTCCACTTTTGTCCAAGTGAAATTAAATAAGTCAATTCCAAATTGGTTGGCAAAGATGTAAGGTTGTTCCGCTCTGACCAGGCTTCAAGGATTCAAGCCACAAAAACAGCCTCCTGGTAGGCAGGCTAAGACTGTGTACATTTGACCCTTTCCAGACCCCGCAATGGAATGAGAGTCATGCACAGGACAGCCCTTTTACCCTCAAATTAGCTCAATCAAAATATATTGACCATTTTGAAGTTATGAAATCGTATTGGATATTCAGCTATACCCAATTTCATTATTTGAGGCAGTAAATTCAGTAAAATCCCGGAGATGAGAAAATAAAACCCAGCCTTTTGAAAACATATATTCAGTCAATTACTCGAGAACAATGTATGAATCGTTCAACTAGCTAACACATTAAGTAGCTTGCTATTTGGTAAGCACAACTTGTTAATAAATCATCCAATTAATTAAATGGTGGCATTACCCATTGTGAACGTAGCCAACAATTTGATCCACAACAACGAACGGAACGAATTCAGAGTGCTTCTCCTGCAAACAAAAACCATATAATACAAGAAACTATTCGTCGGAATTGCGTACGGAGAGAGAGAGATAGAGAGAGAGAGAGAGAGAGAGAAGGCGTACGGAATTGCGATTGCAGAGATTGATTTTGTCGAAGAAGCCTTGGAGATCGGAAGAGTCGTTGTGTTGCGATTGGGAGATTTGAAAAACGTCTTCCCAAGTGAAGCTACTGCTAGTGGCTGATTTGATAGTACGAGAACTGTATCGTGTGGGGCTGAGAGGAAGAGAGCGAAATGGGAATTTCAGTAAAATGGATGAGGAGAGAGTGGAGTTGCAGAGAGAGGTGAGAGAGGCGAGATGATGAGTGTGATTGAAGGCCATGGCCATTTTACGAGTTCGGTGCGCACAGAAGATTGATAAAACTCATAAAAGAGTAATGCTACGCAAAGTAAATGCAACAAAAGAGTTATAACCCAATGCATAGAAGAGTGGGTCCTATTAATTTATTTAATTTTTTTTTTAGTAAAACCACCTATTCACTGCTCATCTAAATGTGTGATAAAAAAAACTACCCATCTAAATGAATGATTTGTATTTTTTAGAGTTATATTTAAATTATATATGTAGTAATTTTTAGGGGTGTAATTCGGGTGGATTGGACAATCAATCATAGCCCAACTTTAGGTATATAATCTTCAACTATAACCCTAATTCTAATCTGAATTCTACCTCGGGTTGGAGAATTCAACCTGAGCACTGCCCTAGTTTAATTCGGGCAGGCTCAGGTTGATGATTTTGAGCTAATTTCGAGTTATTTTACAGGTTCAATTCGGATAAAATTCAAAATAGGCTTCTTGTTATAAACCTAATACATATATTACATAATATTCACCTAAATTAATAACAAATAACTTCAACCAAATTTTTAATGAGAAAGACTGAGACAATGAGAGAGGCGAAGAGAACGAAAGAGACAGAGAACGATAGAATAAAAATGAAAAACTAGTGCTAATGTTTTATATATATAACTTTTTTTTTAAATTTGTAAGGTTCATGTTGAACTTAGGTTCATGAAGTCTTAACCCGAATTCAACCCAAATTAAATTTGGGTTGAAATTTTTTGATCCAAGTCTAACCCAAGTATTAAAAACTCTTACCTAAATCCTAATTTTTGCAGGTTAAAATCGGATTACCTAACCTAAGTTGCACCCCTAGTATTTTTCTTCATAAAAGGCAAATGACATATAAAAATTGATGGTAGAGACACCGGGCCTGGGCCAATTATGTCTGCGCCCAGCGCCCATCTACTGACACGATTTTAGAGAGTTGAATTTAATATTTTAAAATTTAGATATCTATTAAATAGAATGTAGACACCATTTTTGTGTGATTATAAGTAATAGCGTGAAAACATGTTATAATCCGTTAATATATCACGAATACGATATGAAATTAAAGAGTTTGAGTTTTTTTTAAGTCACTTATTTTATAAATAAATAGATCCAATATAACATTATTAATAAGTGAATCAAGTATGAGTGAAACTAATTAAATGAAATATGTAATACAATTCATACAATATACGAACTTTATATGATACGATTCATTTCATATTAATAGAACTGACACAAAAATATATAAAAATTCTTCAAAACAACACCATATATACAAATACCTTTGAAAAAAAAAGTAAATACTAATACAACCCATTGAAATTTAATATCTTTAAGTAATAAATAAACTAAATAAAATTGTGCTTATTTATAAGACTGACGAATTTATCACCTATACTACCACTCAATCCAATAACACAACATAATTAAATTAACATCTTTAAGCACTAAATAAAATCAACAAAATTTTGCTCATTTATAAAATTCATGAATTTGTCACCACTATCACCATTTAACCCCAAATGACACAATATAATTATAAATTTAATCACAAAATATTCAATTCTTCAAATATAAATATACACAGAAATACATTCACACACATTTCTGTTTTGGTTACCAACATCTATAAAGTAGTTAAATTGTTTATCTTGAGCTTTTCGCGACTCAGATCGTTTGAGAATTATTAATCTTACAATCCTAATTGAACTTTCATTTATTTTATAACTATAAGTTTCCTATATCTCGTATAACTCTTTTTCGTTCTCTATTTCATATATCTTTTAAATACACTATATATATCTATATAATAAAGTAATTAGATTTCTTTGTCTTGAACTTTTTGCAGTTCAGATTATTTCCCAACTTTTAATTCAACGATTAAAATTGAACTTTCATTTTTTTTACAACTCTAAAACTCTCATCTCTCATATAACTCTCTCATTCTTTATTTTCATACACCCAATTGTCATATGTATATAACTCTCTTTCTCATATATTTTAAACACATTCTTCTATCTCTCATATAATTCTCTCTCTATTTCATATTTCTTTTAACACACTCTCTCATTTATAATATAATTCTCTCTCTATTTCATATTTCTTTTAGACACACACTCTCCTACTTCTCATACTCTCTCTTTTCTTAACATTGTTTGTCTTGATGATCCTAATTGGACTTCTTCACTCAAAAAAAATTCAAAATCAAGTTAATCATCAATAAAAAAAAATTAGTAACACCAATTGCACAAAAAAAATAATCAAAACCAAGCTAATCACCAATAAAAAAAATAAGTGATACCAATTACATAAAAAAAAAATCAGAGTCAAACTAATCACCAATTAAAAAAAAAGTGATACCAATTGTACCAAAAAAAACTAAAAACTCAAAGTCAAGTTAATTACCAAAAAAAAAAAAATAAGTGAAACCAAAAAAAAAAAAANAAAAACTCAAAGTCAAGTTAATTACCAAAAAAAAAAAAATAAGTGAAACCAAAAAAAAAAAAAATCAAAATCAACTGTAACATTTTTTTCCCTTATTTGCATCCTTTTTTTCTTGCTAATGTTCATATATCTTTTAATACTTGAGTAGTGTAAAATAAACACCAAAATGACAAAAGATTAGTTAAATCAATTTTTTTTTGAAGTGGAGAAATTTTAATTTTGTTGATTTGGTTTAATTGCAGCGTNAGTGTAAAATAAACACCAAAATGACAAAAGATTAGTTAAATCAATTTTTTTTTGAAGTGGAGAAATTTTAATTTTGTTGATTTGGTTTAATTGCAGCGTGAGATGTAGAATCTGAGAAGTCACAGTGGTAGAAAATTTAAATCAATTGTCCTCGCAACTACAAGCAGATCTGTTGGGCAATGTTAGTTCGGTTGAACTTTTTTCTATTTTTTAGAAATTTGATTTTGTAGTTCAATGTGGTTAATTTGTTTGATTGTATTCAGTAATTTAATTATGTATTCTTAATAATATTCCTTATTAAAATTAGACAGTCTATTCATTAGATTTAGCCAGAGGTTGAAAAAATAAACACTTATCTAGTGGAAAAAAGAGTCGTCATGAAAAAATTTATGATATGATAATTTTGTAATGATGTTATTTTAAGTTCATGGAGATTCTTGAATTGTATTAATGTTATATGATTTTTCTTCATTTTAATCCTAAATTTTTTTTTTATTTAAAAATTTCTTGAATCCCCGTTTACTTGGCGAATTTTTTGTGTTAAGAGTATTTTCAAGTACGGGTAATAACTAATATATATATATATATATATANAACTATAATTTTTTTTTAAAAGTCATAGACATTCAAACTCAAGCTAATTAACGATAAAAAAAAATAACAAAGCCAAATATTTGAGTGATTTTATAAAATGAAAAAATATTTGAATGCTAAAAAAAAAAAAGGTTCCAAGTTGTAGACATGCAGCGTCAAGTTGCAACAAAAAAAAAAAAAAAATCAAAGCCCAAGCTAATAGTAATAAAAAAATAAAAAGTAATTGAGTTTATAATTATATTATGTTCTTTGGTTGAATAGCGATAAATTCATACGTCTTATAAATGAATAAGATTTTATTTATTACTTAAAAATTATAAATTTTATTAGATTTCATTAGTATTTTTTTTCTGTATATGTGATATTGTTTTGGAGAATTTTTTTTATACATTTTTTGGATAGTTCTATTAATATGAATGATATGATCGACATTATATTTTGGATCATTTTAAAAGAATTAGTATGAATGTTTTTTATCCATTCTCTTTTTCAAGATGGACAATTACTTGCGATTTTTTTATTAGTTATATAGTGCTTTCAGATACAGACAATGACTAGTACTCTCATAACAAATAATTGTTTTCATTAAAAATACAATAATTCAAAATTTTAAGATAAAATAATAATAAACTAATGTTTAATTAAAAAACAGGGTAAAAATCACGAACACCCCCTGAGTTTTGACAATATTACACGGACATCTCCTAATATTTTATAAATAACACGGAGACCCTTTGAGGTTTAAACTCATTGCACATAGACCCTCTCTATCTCCTCTCTGTCAATGTTGTTAATAGAAATTGATAATTTTATCCAAAATTTTTTTATTATTTTTATAATTACCATTGTCCAAATTTAGTACCAAAAAAAATTAAAAATTTAATTTAGTACCAAAAAAATTAATATAATTTGGTACTCAAAAAATTTGATTAAATAAATTTTAATATTTAATTTGATAACAATAAAAATTAATTTGATAAAGTTGAATATAAATTGGATAAAATTAAATGTTAATTTTTGATAAAATTATATATTAATTTAAAATCTAAGGTTTATTTCATGTCGAATATTATTTAGTGTTTATAGTTAATGTGCTATTTTTATTTACATTAAGTGTTATTTACAAATGAAGAAACAAGTATCAAAATACATGTCATGATAGATAAAAATTTTAAATGATTTTCATGGAATAAATAATTTCATAACATGTAATTTCATCTGTTTTATGGAGTAAATAATAACAAAAATAATACAGGGAAAACAAAAAAAAGAAGATAATAGTATGAGAGAGAGAATATAAGGATAGATAGATAGAAAAAATTATATGAGAAATGAGAGTCTTGTAAAATAAATGAAAGTCTCATTAGGACCATCGAATTAAAACAATATTAGCTGCAAAAAACACAAGATAAACAATTTAGCTACTTTATTATGTAGATATAAGAGTTTTAATTAAACAAAAACCTAAAATTTAGGAAAATCAAAACACATAATAAATCATCTCCATTTTTTTAGGGATATATTTAATTCTTTGATTTTAGTACTTTCTAAGATAAGATAATTAAAATTTTTTAATTTTAGTTGTCAAATTTCAAAAGTTTTCAAAAATTTTGAAACATATCCTTAAAAAATGAAGAAGATTTATTATGGGTTTTGATTTTCCTAAATTTTTAGTTTTTATTTTATTAGAATTCCTATATATCTATATAATAAAATGGAGATGAGTTTGAATTTTGGAGACAAAGA